CTTATATTCACATTTCTAAGTTTAATCAACTTAACTTGATTAAATGTAGAAGCCTGTACTTTCTAGCACCTCCTGCCTTCTGGAAAGCATTATCTTCAAGCATACAGAATAATTGCATCTTCTGATTAAAATTATGTTGGGTAGACTTATTTCACATACGTATAACTACCTTCAGGGTAAATCTTTACATATGAAGTGGAAGGTGAGGATATGGATAACCCTAGGTCAATCTGGCTTTTTTTTTTAACCAGAATCACCTAATGCAAATGACAATTGAATCCATTTACTCAAACAAATATTTATTGAGCTACTACTCAATAAATAGGACCTGTATCAGGTCCTATAGGTTGAATACTGTATGAGTTTCAGAGAGCTACTATAGCAGATGACACACACAACAGAAATTTATTCTCTCATAGTTACGGAGACCAAAAGCATACTCTCTCCTAAGGCTCTAGGAGAGAATCCTTCCTTGCCTGTTCTAGGTCTGGTGGCTCCAGGTATTCCTTGGCATGTGGCTCTATAACTATAATCTCTGCCTCTGTCTTCACATGGACTTCTCTACTTTGTCTTCTATTTTGTCTCTTATAAGGACACTTGTCATTGGGTTTGGGCCAACCCAGCTAATACAGGATGAGTAGTAAGTTAAGGAACTTACTTGTACTTGCAAATACTTTTTTTTTGTAGGGGCAGGGAGAGGGTGGAGGGGATGTCATCATTCAAATTACTACAGATACTGTAGTGAATAAAGCCCCTTCCCTCATAGAATTCGTAGTCTAATTGAAAAGACAGGATACAAAAAAAGTGATTTCAGTAAAGCATGATAGAAATGTATTGGTAGAAGTAGTCCAAGAGCTATGGGAACAGAAGTCTGGGGTCCTAATTAAATCTAAACAAGCATAAAAAGCTTCCCAAATGATGTGATGTTCACATAGGAGGATTAAATAGGAATTGGCCATGAAAGAAAGCTTGGCACATTTTAAGGAACTGGAATGAATTCAAAATAGAGAACGATAAGAGATTAATCTGGAGATATACATTTAGAGTCATTTGTAGAGAGCCATGTGAGCAAAGTTAAAGACTATAGACTTCATCCTGAGATAGAGTCAGCTCTGTGATTGGCCAACACTGATATAATAAGGCAGAAATTATCCCTGTCAGGACCAAGAGGAGCAACACAGGTCCTGAGTGTTCCTCTTACTTCCATATGGCAAATCTTGCTCTTCCCAATATTTGTAGCTTTTATGGATAACATAGTACCATAGTAAAATAACTTTGAAAGATTGTGAAAAAAAAAACATTTAATTCAAAATTCTCATTTTACAGACATGAAGCCAAAGTCAGGCCAGGCTAATGATTGTTCTAGGACCCACAAAAGAGCTGGATCTAGCCATTTGTTCTATTAGCGAAAATGGTAGTGTAAAATACTGGCAATAGCATGGGCCTGGAGCCTGACAAATCGGGATTGGATTGCTAGCTTTCCTGTGTACAAGAAGTGTGACCTTAGCAAGTAATAGAACCACCTATACTAGGAATAATAGTAGTACCTACCTATTAAGACTATTGTGCAGATAAATTTGATAATGAATTTGAAGCACTAAACATTGTGCTAGAAGCTAATTTAGTATGAAATAGATAGTGACTGTTGATGATGATATTCCTAATGTTTTCATAATCATCCCAGCCCCATAATCCATGGCACTTTACTCCCAGTATATAACGGTGCATGACATCATACACTCTTATTTCAAATAACTTATATATTTATATACAATTGAACCTTAAACAATGCAAAGGTTAGGGATACAAATAACCCCCTTGCCCCATCCAGTCCAAAGTCTACACATAACTTTCGACTCCCCAAAACTCAACTTCTAATAGCCTACTATTGACTAGAAGCCTTACCAATAACAAAAACAATTAACACATATTTGTATGTTATATGTATTGTATACTATATTGTTACAGTAAAGTAAGCTAGAGAAAAGAAAATGTTAAGAAAATCATAATAGAAGATACACTCACAGTATTATACTGTATTTATCAAAAAACATTTACGTGTAAGTGGAGCCATGCAGTTAAAAATTGAGTGTTCAAGGGTCAACTGTATGCCAGTCTCCAAAGAAGAGTGTTTAGGATTTCTAGCACAGAAGTTTAAGAAACAATTATACAGGCATATGCATTTTTCAAAGTAACACAACTGCCTATTCTGATATCCAATTAAAATTTTAATTGAAGCAAAGTTCATAAATATATAATCATAAGTGTGAAAATGAAGGTATATTAGTAAAAATAGCAGTTTGCTAAGCGATTAAGGTAAACAACACAGTGTTCTATAACAAAGTAATCTGAGTCTCAAAAGGTCCAATTACATAATCTTCCCTGTCTGAACTTTGAATATATGGTCTAAGTAAATTACTTGCCACCTGGCTACTGTGAAAGTACAGGCTGCAGATTTAAAACTCTTGAACTATATTATATATTTTACAAATACAGCAGTTGCTAAGTAAATGTTTTCTTTTTAAATGCCATCTTCTGTATCGTCAGAAATTAATGTTATTTTATGTTTTCTGTAACATCTATCCCTTATAATTTGTTATTCAATAATTTTCATGTGAAATGTGACATTTTAGAGCACTCATTAATTCCTGCAATATCAGTGTTATTTTGAAGATTAGGAAATTCAGTGAGGACCTAATAAAAAATCTTCAGCACATTATTTATTGGATAAGATGCAACCCTTTACCTGTTTCTGCACAGATTATGAGCTGAAAGAAATAGATGCCTGAAAATATCTTAATTAAATCATAGTGAATAAAATCTAATTCCAAGGTTTAATAAATTTCTTACTGAAAACTGAACATAAATGACAATTGTTTTTATTTACATTTAGATTTCTTAAAAAGCCTCTTAAATGTTGTGACTGGTTTCTTACTTAACAATAGCTTTTAATGCTCAAAAATTCCCTAGTAGATATGTCATTTTTATGAGGAAGTTATTACTCTGGATATAAATTTGCACATAGTGTATATTGCCTACTTGATTCCCAGAAGAAGAACTATTTCTGTGAAAGTCTTAAAGTACTCAAGTTTAATGAATTATTATGGTAGAGAATTAAATGGTTTGTTTTTCAGTTATATTCCTTTTTTCAAGTTTATTTATTTGTTTTGAGACAGAATGAAAACATGTGCAGTGGAAAAGCAGAGAGAAGGAGAAAGAGAGAATCCCAAGCAGGCTCTGTGCTGACAGGGCAGTAAAACTCACGAACCGTGAGATCATGACCTGAGCCAAAACCAAGTGTCAGAGGTTTGGGGCGCCTTGGTGGCTAAGTTGGTCAAGCATCTGACTTCGGCTAAAGTCATGATCTCACGGTCCATGAGTTCAAGACCCATGCAGGGCTCTGTGCTGACACCTCAGAGCCTGGAGGCTGCTTCAGATTCTGTGTCCCCACCTCTCTCCAGCCCTCCCCCACTCATGCCCTGTCTCGCTCTGTCTCTCAAAAATAAATAAATGTTAAAAAAAATTACAAAAAAAAAAGCGTTGGAGGCTTAACAGCTGAGCCACCCAGATGCCCCATGTTTTTCAGTTATATTATTTGATACAATTTTCTACATATAAATTATTTGATTAATATATTTTTATAGTAATAAAAATAAAGCTTTATTCAAGTGAAAGGATATTAAAGGGACTGTTTGATTCAATATTTTAGAGTATTGCCAAATTACTGAATTATTACTTAAAGTTATAGCATAGGAAGGGAAAATGAAACATAAAACTTAACCTTGAATTCTGGAGATGGTCATGTGTGAAGTCAGGCAAGTTCTTTACCTTCTGTGGGCTTCAGTTTTTTACTTCTATTATGAAGCAATTGTTCATATCCCATTCAATAAAAAGTATTTCTTATTAAAACTTCAATAATACAGGGGTGCCTGGGTGGCTCAGTTGGTTGAGCATCCAACTCTTGATTTCAGCTCAGGTCATGATCCTAGGGTCATGGGATTGAGTCCTGCTTGGGATTCTCTCTCTCTTTCCCATGCCCTTCTCCTGCTCATGCCCTTCTCTCTCTAAAATAAAAAAAAAATAAAAAAAAAATGTGCTTGCTTCGAGAGCACATATACTAAAATTTTTAAAAAAATTAAAAAATTAAAAAACTTCAGTAATACATAGAATGAGAAGTGCTAATGAATTAATTGAAGTAATGTATTTTAGAAGATTGCCTAAGCAGTAGTAAAACATGCATCCCCTGTAATTTTTATAGTTTTGTCAATGAAAGAAATATGTTGTTACCATATGTTATCTAGTTTTTTCTTCAAAAAAGGAAGCTTTTAAATGTCATTTTTAAAATTACTGCTAAACATCTAAGAACTTCCTATGTATATCCTTGTCCTATAAAGTGTAAGTTCCTAACTTTAATGTTTGAATTAATCTCTATGAAATATAAAAAAGGTCATTCTTAAAACGAATTATGCAATAGTCTTTCCACTTTGTTGAAAGAGACATCAAAACAGTGCATAAGCCTGGTCTCTTGATTCAAGTGTTTAAGGAAATAAATTAGCAATAATATAAACAAAATCCTTTAAGTCTATTTGCTGATTTAAATTTGCAACAAATACTTAATCTTAAAATGTGGAATACTAAGAATCCATCTACTTTTATTGGTACTTTTGTTAAAACAAAAACAGAAAAGAAAAGGAAAGGAAAAGAAAGAAAAGAAGAGAAGAGAAGAGAAGAGAAAAGAAAAGAAAAGAGAAAAGAAAAGAAAAGAAAAGAAAAGAAAAGAAAAGAAAAGAAAAGAAAAGAAAAGAAAAGGGCTATGTTGTGGGTTATGACCTCCATCTTCAGCCCTTATTTTGGTTTGCATCCTGTGTGCCAAATAAAGGCAAATATGGTGGACATTTTTGGCATCCATCACCATATTTTCAAGCATATACCAACTTGTAAAATAATTTTGTTAGTGAAATGTCACCCAGGGAAATTTTAATATTGTATTTGTGTTTCAGCTTCTGACATGGCGGCTGAACAGGGACAGATTCTCGTGATAGCCACCGCAGCTGTTGGGGGATTTACTCTCCTCGTCATTCTTACTTTGTTCTTCTTAATCACTGGGAGGTAACGGAAGCATACCAGATTATTTCCAAGATTTGTGAATAACCATTCTCTTCTAATACTGTGTATTCATATGCTTTCAAATGTAGCAAACTATGAGAGAAAAAGGGATCAGGGCAGGCTGCTCTGACTGAAGTTTATATGATAACAGAACCACCATGTCCAATTCTCTGTATCAATAGGCTTCGAAATATGTAAGCAACTAAAGACGTGATAGAAACACTTTGAAAGCTATGAAAGATAAATCCTTACTCGATAAGTTTTTCCTTTACCACGTTCAAATTACACCATGAAAGAGATCTTTCCTGGAGAAAAAAAAAATCATTCAACAGAGAATTTATATAAAAGTTTTCTATAAATTTAGTGTTATAGAATGTGTTCTATTTATTCATTAAATGTTGAATGGATCTATATTAGATTACATTAATTGGTTTTATAAATCCAGTATTTCTCCACTTTAAGGTAATAGGGGTGGAAATTTAAAGCAACAATGAATTGGACAGAGCAAAAGACCTAGATCTGAATCCTGACTAGCTGGTCAAAGTGCTTCGGGTACCTAAATCTTATATTTGTATGTTTGCACACATTTGATATAACAATGAATTAAAACCATTTATTGATTTTTAGATATATTAGATTGTTGCAATGAGCCAGGTACTGACTGACTATACAGAGATGTGAGTAAAGGTAGTATGTATGAAATCATAAAACAGATTTTTCTGTAACCCTTGTTACATAAGCCTTGTTATTAGGCCCAGACTTTTGTGAGAAACTGTGAATATATTCAGATCATATTTTTATTCCCACTAAGGAAAAAATAATTCTTTCTTGATTATCAATAGGGTCACAAAAGAATATCTCATGAATTTTCCTGATAATATGAAAAACACACATACTGCAAAGAAAACAATGTCATGATTTAAAAGTGCAATAAGAATACCAGCCAAAAAGTATGCATCTATAATGACACCAGCTAAAGTACACCGTCTCAACTGGAAAGTGTTGATATTTGATAATGAGCAGAAATAACAAATAGCTACTTTCAGGGGCAATAGTTTAGTGAATAAACAATAAAACACCTTTTTTATTTATTTAAAAACTCTACTTACATACCAATATTTTATTAAAATTCACATTTAAATTATAGAGGATATGCATGCATGGAAAATTATTATCTACAGTTTTAGAGCAGGGTAAAGGTATAAATCAATAAGTTCACAAATGTTTAGAAGTTTGGGTCCCTGCCTGACTGTAACTGCCAGCTATTGAAGGTGTCAGATCTAGGGATAACAAACCCACTTTTATAGAACCTACCAAGGAATAAAGAAACACATGAATATTTTAATATGGTTGAGTTAAAATGGTGACTTCTTTATGAAACTAATTGTAAAATGGACACATGTACCCCACGTTTACTTAAATTTTTTTTCTGTATAAATAGACATAGTATTGCTCTTGTAATAGAGAGTGTCTCAGAGTCTCCTGTTTGGGGAAGCTGATTAACTGATAGAAGAGTGATAGCTATAGTAATAAGAAAAAATTTTTTGAAAGAATGCAGGAATACTGATAAATTAATACTAATAAAAAGTGCTAGTTTGGGCATGCCATGGTGTCACCATCATATACTATTGCCCAGCACTCTCCTGTTTCTGTCTCTCTTTATACCTCATGCTAACCTCTGGCAGGTCCTTGCCATCATTACAGCTTTGGTACAACCATCTTTTACAGTGGGCAGAAAATAAATGTTGGAGTCTCTAAACCAACTAACCATCAGGTTGAAAACAAAACTACTTCAGTTATATAAGATTAAAAAAATTCATTTTTTAAAGCACATAATATACTTTAAGCACATAATAGAGGAGTATTCATTGGAAATTATTCTATAAAAACTGTAAGACATTTCTGAATAAATACTCAACTTGCCTTAGGGTTTGAAGATAAAATCACATTGAAAGATTGGATGATAGACCACAGATGTGGTCTGTTTAACCATTTGGAATTAGAAGTTTGATGAATTGTCAAATCACATGGATGCTGGAGAATTTATTCATGTTGCAGAAGTCATGCGAGATAAGCATCTACTCTTTCTCAGAGCACAATTATCCCAAGAGAGAACAGAACATACCTTTACAAAATTCTGACATAAAAAGAAAGCATGCTCTTTAGCAATGAAACTAGAAAACATTTGTCTAAATTTCTGAGATTCTGACTCAAAAACATTTTCTCATTTTGACTTTTAATGCTTTCTACCAGCTCCAGCTATTAGAAGTTCTATAAGGAAGCATGTGATGGTTATTGCTGATTATAGAATATTCTCTAAGATTCCTATCATTCAAACCAATCAATCCACGTGAGAGTATTTTATTCTTATCTGGGATTAATTCTGATCTATACAAAAAAAAAAAAAAGAAACTTGTGATATAAAGATATTCTTAAACATGGCCTTTGTGATAAGAACTTGGCCTACTAATGATAGGTAATTTAGTTGGTTTTGGTTCTCATCCAGCATAATTCTAAAACTAAGATTCTGCTTACCCTTTTCAAAGGTGCCAATGGTACATCAAAGCTAAAATGAAGTCAGAAGAGAAGAGGAGAAACCACTTACAGCAGAATGGGCATTGTAAGTAGTACAGTGACCCTTTCATTATTTTACATTGCTCTAGCCCTCAAGAGTTCATTTTAAACTTGTATCCACTGAGTTGAGAAAACCTGAAAAAATGTACTTCCAACCTTTCAGCATTAAGACTTTTCATCTGGTTTCCAGGTTTGTTGGTGGAAATTGCACCTGCTTCTCATTAAATGATAGTACTTTTTTCCTAATTCTGCTTGCTGGAAAACACGAAGGCTGAATATGCTAAAAATACAAGATGACTGCTTATATCTAGTTATTTACCATTCACAATGACTCCTGAATGCAAGTTGGTTTAATTTAGTGGAGCATTAGCCATAGAAATATTAGGGAACTTTTATTCCTTCTTGTAGGGACTGTCATTTAAACATATAACAAATCAATTTACAATTCATTAACACTAAAAAAGAAAATCAGCTCTTTAACTTTTAGAATATGTATGAAATCCTTGAGCTGACTACAAGGTTATATTCATTTGTAGAATCTCTTCCCAAGCAAGCTATAATTACCACTATAGTTGGTTTGATAATTGCCACCCTCTCCTCCCCAACACCCACCTCCACCTCCACCTCCAAATGGCAAACTACTTTGTCAAGATGGTTTCTCTCTCCTGAGATGCTGAATTAACATCTCAGAAAGGGATGTTCTCTAATTAACCACAGTGTAGAAATAATGTGTGAGGCAAGCTGTTTAACTCTTTCAACTCATTTTTTTACTTCAGATTGAGCAAAAGGAGTAAGAGACTTTTCAATCTATATCACTTTCTGAAGGAGGCAGAAAGGATTTAAGTGAGGAAATTACAAACTAGAGGGACGGTTTAGGACTATTTCTAAGGCTCACAGGATTTCTCAGTGGTCTGAGGACTTTCTGTATTAGGATGTTCCATGTTCACTGGCCAGAGTTCTGACTCAGAAGGTGCATGGTAGGGCCAAGACATACGCATTTTTAGCAAGGTGTCCCTGGCTGCTCTTTTCTTACAATACGTTTGAGGCTCACTGCACTGGCAGAGAAGGGAAAGCTAAGACAGCCACTGCCAGCCATGGGATGAGCTGGAAATGCTGCGAACAGATGCAGAAACCTGGACCCAAACACCTGGATAGATGACATATGCTGAGCAACCTTAAGACTCACTGCAGGGCATTTAGTACTGAAATGCAAAGGAAAAAGATGTTCCTGAGGTATTTATTATCTGCTTTCCAACTAGCAGTTTTTGCATAAACTAAACCAGATGGGCCCAGCAAGAAGCAATGAAAATAACCTAAGACAGCCAAGGAAGTAAAAGAAAGATAACAAACTGAGTTTTAAGAAACCATGGGTAAGTTAAATAAGTAACCAGATAGTCGACATATATTGTGTTTACAAGAAAAAAGAAGGTGATGTTAACACCACATATCCAATTAGATACCACTAATCATCTAATAGTAGCCACTGGATTTGAGTTTAGAGAGTATTCATTCTGAAACCACAACTCCCATTAAGTAAAAAAGTATCTGCAATATGAACCAGAGGTAAATATTATCTGTTGTCTTTTCCTCCAATCTAAACTTTGGAAGTCACATAAAGCATAGTATTTCAGAATCATTGTCAGGCCTAAGTATACCTAGAATGCTTTGCTGATGATATTTGGGGAAGTACTAATATTCTCATGGGTGTTCATCTGGTAGCAGAAGACAGTAGGCAAAAAGGAATGAAAGGGGGCAACAAGTGTAGAGGAACTCCTGAAGCAAATTCTGCTGACAATGGACATTTCAGCACCTCCTCTAAACTCACTTCATTAGCTTTTATTTGTTTGCTTTTGAAATTTTCTTGCAAGAGCATGTTTCTAAGGAATCCTAGCCAACAAATAACTCGGGGTATTATGCAGCTTTCAAAATCTAAAGCAACGAAACCACGTATCACCTATTCACTATGCCACGAATTTGCATTGATCTTTTAATCCCTACTAATTCATATTTAATAAAGGTTTGCTGTGTGATTATTACCTGTAAAACCATACCTAAGGTATTTGGAAAGATACAAAGATGTATAAGAAATGATCTCCTGTCCTCTGGGAGCCAGAAATCTGTTGGAACACAGAAACCTACCACCAAAACAGAGGAATATCTACACACAGTCTGTGATTTCTTCAGATACTGAAAGAAGTGGCAAATGAAAAAAATAACCACACATTCAAGTTTTCCAGCCATCCCTGTTTGTCATCTGAGTGCAAAGTGTCCAGGAGGGACACCAACAGGCTTGCTCATTTTGGCAGAAAGGGTTTTGGGAGAAAGGCTTATGCCTTTCCCCCCATGTCCTGAGCTAGATCAAGTACAAAATGTATGGGTTGTTTGTGAATTAGTGAGCTGATTAAACGTTTTACAGAAATATAATAAATATGTTTTCTGGAACCTGTCAGCTCACTCTCTATTAAACCACCAGGTCATTTTACATTAACAGGTAAATAAATTTTTGATTCCAAGTACTCAACTCTTTATTGGGGGGTGAGGAGGAGTGGGACACAAAGAAAAGAGAGTTGAAGTAACTAACAAGAATGACGACTTTAATATGTCAATCCTTGTTTTAAACATACACAAGATGTGTAATCACTAAAATACTTTTAAACTAAATCAATCTTTTTTTGTTGTTGTTGGTTTGCAGTACGCTTCCCAGGAATTAAAACTTACATAGATCCAGATACATATGAAGACCCATCCCTAGCAGTTCATGAATTTGCAAAGGAGATTGATCCCTCAAGAATTCGCATTGAGAGAGTCATTGGGGCAGGTAAACATAAAATCTGTACTTTTGAAGATATGATTCCTTGATGGTTTTGTAGCTAGGTTATCAACATAATAGTTTAAATCTTAGCAGTTTTAGTCAGTTTAGTCTTGAAAAATTTCAAGAAAGGAGAAGTAAAATTATCTTCTATATGCTGTTACTTTTTTAAGTATGTAAGCACCTAAATTCATTTTCTAAGCAAACGTCATTTTTAACTCCTGTAGTCTTCTTTCAGTATGGAGGTAACTTACAATGAAACTAGGGTCACACAGGAATTCATTTTGAAGATGTAACTTCAGCAGTTTTTCATAAGTTGTTAAAGATTTACTGAGGCCCTCAGGGTACCTGGGTGGCTCAGTTGGTTGAACATTCGACTCTTGATTTCATCTCAGGTTGTGATCCCAGGGTCATGGGATTAAGCCCTGGTTGGGCTCCTTGCTGAGCGTGGAGTCTGCTTAAGATACTTTCTCTTTCTTTCTCTCTCTGCCCCTCTCCCCAGCTTGTACATTCTCTCTTTAAAAAAAAATAAATTAAAAATAAAACAAAATAAATGATTTGCTCAGGCCCCAACATCTATAGATATATAGTATAATTAGTGTTCATATTGATGACTGGCTCTGCAGGATCCAGAAGTGTTCTAAAAATCATTGAGGGTAAAATTAGCTTCAGTATAGTTTTATATCATTTAAGTGCTAATTAGTGATTTTCCCTATGTAGAATGTTCAAACAGAACACTATTTTATTCAGCTGTCCTATATAAATACAAAACTATTGTGAATTAGTTCCCAAGACCTTATTCTGTTCATACTTACGACAGAGGCTAAGTTGGTATAACAAAGAGACCTCAGCATATTTATTCTTCTTTCAAGTCCTTGACCTAAGGAACAGTCCATGTTAGCAGAGGAATGGTCATTCAGGAGGTCTTGAAAGGACCCAAGTTCCTTGTACTGTTTGCTCTGCCTTTCCTTAGTGTGTCATCTTCCTCTGAATGGTCAAAGCTGGGACACCAATGCATCTGCCTTCCAACCTGTGAGAAAGAAAAGGAAAGAGTTCAGTCTTTTTTTTTTTTTTTTTTTTGGCTTTGTCTGTAAGACAATAACACGGAACTTGTGAACATGTCTATTCACATCTCAATGGTCCAGTTCAATTACCTGGGCACAAAGAGAGTTTGGAAACATATTCTCTGACTGGACAGCCATGCATACAGCTAAGAAGGGGAAGGAGGAAGTGTAAGTAGAGAAGGGAGACTGGATCCTGAAGAGGGGTATTGGTCTCCTCTCGATGCTGGATACCTGTTATGTACTGTTTTGAGCAGTACATACAAAGCCTGACCATTCCAGCCAGGTATCATGTCTTTGCAGAGGCCAAAGAAAGAAGCTGACCATCCCTTGTCTCTTTCCAAAGCCCTTCTCCACAAGAGGACCAGCTGCATAATCTGCAGAGACCAATGCAGAATGAAAATGTAGAGTCTCTTCTTAAAAAGTTACTAAGAATTTCAAGATAGTGACATCAGAGCATTAAACAAGTGACAGAGCCCTTCTAAATTCAGGACTCTGTATGACTAGTCACATTGAATGGACTCTGTTTCCCAGATACACAGTAATCTAGCACTATACAGGAATTCCAGAAACATTTGGAGAGAGTCCTTCATTATATCACTTCATTCGCTATGCACAACGGGTCATCTCATCTCCTACAAGGCTAGAGCTCCCTTTGAAAGCTGACACAAGGGGCCTATACACTTAATCCTAGTGCTCACAGCTGAAGAGGCTGTCTTATCAGAAAGATTAAGAACCTGGAATGAAACCAGATTCTCTATTCTCTTCTGCTGAACATAAAACACATCAATGGGCATTGAAGGTATAATTGAAAGAGTGATTACATTATAGTCATTTAGTTTTGGGATTCATTTACTTAACACAGCAGAGAAATAGAGAAGAGAGAAGGTTAAATAATTCCATTGCATGCTACTGTTGGCTTTCTTCCTCAAGTTCCCAAGAAAACGTGGTATATCCTTTTATACTGCAGTGTTCAGTCCTCATGTAGATACAGTAGAAGCATTTTCCATTGTAGTCCTTTGTGCATAAATTAAATGGCAGTGTCTGAAATCATAATGTTGAGAAATAATACCAAATATCTTAAATGATAACAAATAAGTATTCTTTTTAGTTTTTTACATTTTCTTCAACCAGAATATAAATTTTGTCCTAAAAAAAAAAAGTATGACACATTGCCAAAGCAGTGACTGTTAAAGAGACTACTTGAATATCATTCCCCCTATTCTGTCTAACATCTAATAAGTTGTATTGGGATTCCTCTCATTTGGCAAAGAAAGAATATCTAAACCAGGTAGTCAATCCTATACACCAGTATTCCTTTTTATATTTATTCACCTTTGGTTACTTCAAGTTTCATACAATATGCTGTCTTTTTATTGTTTGTCTTCAAAAAACAATCATAAAAATAAAAATGCTTTATGTTACAAAGTTGTAACATATGTTATATTGTAACATAACTTTCCGCTTCCCATTCCTGACAGTGCTACTTTGTAATTAACCTCATTATGTCATGTTCCTAAAACTCTATTTGGATGTGGAAAAAATTAGTAAGTCTGTGGACATTTGTCACAGAAGTAGTGTGAAAAAAGCATTGTTTGGTCAAACTATGGAAGAATTGATAGAATTATGTAACATCTCTGACATAATGACACAATTGGTTACTTGCCCAACACTACTATAAAGCCTTTCCTTAGGTTGTCTCATATCCTTTACTTTTTCCCACCTATTTGATTGTTTCTTCTCAGACTCCTATTTTCTCATCATCTGTATGCTTTAGGTATTTCCCTTGGAGATGTAAATTAAATGACTTGAGGAGAGAGAGGTGTGTTGGAGTAGTGGTGATGGGAGAGAAGCAAGACATCAGGTCTTAATAATTGTCAGTGGAAAGATATTTAGTTCTGATTGAAGCACTGAGAAAGCCATAGAGGGGATACTGAGATTCACCATTCATTGCTGAGGAAAAATCAACAAGACCTATATGTGTTTGTTTTGTTTTTGTTTGTTTGTTTGTTTGTTTGTTTATAAAGAAATAGTTTAAAATGTTGTCCTGGGCACTTTCCAGGGTAGTGAAATGTTCCAACTCTAGGCAGAGAAGAGCCTGCAGAGTGAAGCTATGTGCAGGCAGCAGGTATATTTACTAGGCCTCTGAATTCTTGGGTTCCTTTAGATGAGTTAGATTGTAGATGAAAGAGAAAATAAAAGCTGAGGGTTGATAAAGTGTAAGCTGCCTATAAACTCATGCTTCAGATTCAGATCTGGTCTGAATAAGGTTGCGTGGTCCAGTTTGAAAAGTTCCCAAAGTTGACTCGAATTTGGAAGTTAAGTTGAAACAGGGCTGTGGAGTCAAACAAATTAGAGTCGAGTAGTGATTCTGCAGTTTAACAGTTGCATGCTTTGGGCCACATTCTGAGCTTCAATTCCCTCATCTATAAAATGGGCATACCTACCTGCTTTCTGAGGTTGTCGTCAGGTTTGAGATATATATGTATAAACACCTGGCCTTCAGCACAAGGAATGCAGCAAGCCATCTTAACCTGTCTTCTTTAGCGTATTTTATTGTTGAAGTCTTAACATAATAGCTAACTCCCTTGTAAAATTGAATGTTAACCTTTGGTAATAATATTTTTTCCCCTTGCTTTCTTTTTTTTTTTTTTTTTTTTTTTTTTTGCTACTTCCCTTTGGAGATTCTTCAATTCTGATAATGATGATGATTAACACATAGTTTTTATTGAGCACCTACTCAAGTTCACACCCTGTGTTAAGTGCTTTTCATATATTTTCTTATAAAGTTGTCATAATAACCCCATGAAGAAGATATTATTATTCTCATTTATAGGTGAAGAATGAGGTTAAGAAACATTAAGTGGCCTGCTCAAGATTGTAAGATTAGGTCGTAGAAGACTATGGGGTTCACACCCAGCTATGACTGACTCCCAAGCTACATTTTTTTTTTATAATTTAACTTTATTTTTTATTTTTTATTTTTTAAAAATTACATCCAAATTAGTTAGTATATAGTGAAGCAATGATTTCAGGAGTAGATTCCTTAGTGCCCCTTACCCATTTAGACCATCCCCCCTCCCACAACCCCTCCAGCAACCCTCAGTTTGTTCTCCATATTTATGAGTCTCTTTTGTTTTGTCCCCCTCCCTGTTTTTATATTATTTTTGTTTCCCTTCCCTATGTTCATCTGTTTTGTCTCTTAAAGTCCTCATACGAGTGAATTATATATTTGTCTTTCTCTGACTAATTTCACTTAGCATAATACCCTCCAGTTCCTTCCACGTAGTTGCAAATGGCAAGATTTCATTCTTTTTGATTGCTGAGTAATACTCCATTGCATATATATATATATACCACATTTTCTTTATCCATTTATCCATCCCTACCCAAGCTGTTATTCTTAACCACTATGTTATATTGTATCTATGCTATTAGTTTACTCTTCAACTCAAAACACTGTGTCCATAAAAGGTATCAAAATATGCTTTAAAAAGGAACCATTCCCAATTTTAACAAATCTTAAGTAGTTTAAAGATATTTAATATCTCATTGAAACAAAAATTTTAACTGAAAGACAATCAGGAAATCATTTTCATGAAAGAATATTGAATTTCTTATGCTGTATGGATATTTAGAGAATAAATGTATTTTGTGAAGAAAATAAATTACATATAAACCAAAGTCTGAAAGAACCAATTAGAGATATATACAATCTAGAAATAATTGCAATCCTTAAGATTTATTATTATTAATATTTTATCATTCATGAAAATGTTTGAGAATTTATAGATATGAAAGCTTATTTGTGTTCTTTTATGATTCCAAACACTACATTATTTTTGTATAAGAGCTCAAAAACTATACCCGCCTGTTCTCATATAACAAAATATGAGGATAATGGATAAATATGAGAAATTTGAGAATATAAAAACTGAAAAAAAATCC